ATAACAATAACAAAGAACATATAAAAGTATATATTATGTTGATTATATGTTGTAGGGTCTATTTTGTAATCTTGTGTGATGTTATGTGTAGTTACCTAATGACTTAAAATATTTATATTACTAGTCACATTAACTTACCTTAATAACATATGTAAAGCAACAATTATTTATAGCATATATGTAAAGTTGTGTCGGCATCACACTAAAAGGTTATATGTTGTGATTATCGGTGGAAAAGGTTTTTGCTCTCAAATGATTGGAGAGAAAAGTCGATGTTATACTTGCATAGCTAATGACGAGAAAGCCATGGCGTACTAATTTCTTGGAGGGCATGACACTGAACTCCTTGGAAAATTGTTTGGAAAATAATGTAAAAATATTAAAAAATTAATTTACAATTTATGTTGATTATATGTTGTAGGGTCTATTTTGTAATCTTGTGTGATGTTATGTGTAGTTACCTAATGACTTAAAATATTTATATTACCAGTCACATTAACTTACCTTAATAACATATGTAAAGCAACAATTATTTATAGCATATATGTAAAGTTGTGTCGGCATCACACTTAAAAGGTTACATGTTGTGATTATCGGTGGAAAAGGTCTGACGAGAAAGCCATGTCGTCCTAATTTCTTGGAGGGCATAACACTGAACTCTTTGGAAAATTGTTTGGAAAATAATATAAAAATATTTAAAAATAATTTAAAAAAATAAAAATTTTAATTTTTTAAAAATATTTTTAAAATATAAAAATAACTCGAAGCTAGATGATGTTTTGAGTATCTAACAAATGTTGTTCAGTGTTTGTTGTTGGGAGCCCAGAAAGAATACACAGGGCTGTCCGCTATTCTTATTTTCATACTTGTTCTTATTCTTAATGTTATTTGTTAGGCCATTAATGCTGAATTTTTAACCTTGGGAACGATGAATTAACACAATATTTGAACTGTGAAATCCAAAAAATAAATTAATTGTCAATTATATAACAAATGCAGATAAATAAGTGTTCACAAGAACACGAGTACAGATTATGGCTGAGAATGGATAAGAAGGAATCCCTAGTAATTAAAGGTGTGCTCTGTTATTCGTTATTCATAGCTAGTTCTTGAAATACAATGGCGAGCTGGAGACATCTCACCGTCAAACAAATTCCCACTCATAGCTAAGCAACTAATTTGTTGTTTGAGTCAATGAACATAGTTCAACTGCTTTACTTTTGATTAGTAGAAGAAATGTCATTAAGTTTTGAATTGTTCTTAGCACTTCTAATTTTACAACTACCAATTATTAAATCAAGAGATATATTCTATGAAGCACACATCTGCATTGGGAGAAGAACCATCCCTCCCTTGTACTTCCACTTCCTCACAACTGCATTGTGGAAAAGGGTTATTTTTCTTTAAAAAATTGTAAGGATACATGAAGCACACATCTCCAGGACAGAAACATGCTTGATTATATATATGGTCTGAACAAGTATTTCCTTTCCTGGCTTCATTGTTTTTTTACCTCTTTTCTTCCAAACCGTTTGTTTTACTTCCATGGTTTTGGCTCCAATGCTTATGAGTCTTGCCAGAACAAAGATTTAGAGTGTGGAGAGAAAGGGTAATGGATTCAATTTCGATGTGGCCTGGAACCACCTCCACCCTTCTTTTGATTCCGATCAGTTGTTGATCGGTCGTGGTCTTCAGACTTTTCATTACAGTTAACCAAAACCATCATCTGTTGATTGAGATGGCTTAGATACTCTGTCGGATTGCATTCATCTGCATCAAACAGATCCGCAACCGAGGGTGTCCTTTGGTGTCTAGACCTTTGTCGTAGCTTCAACTCTATCAAACTGCTTTCATCTCCTTCTAAAACCCTTACAAACTGCAGAGAAATCTTATTTTAACATAATCGCATAAGAACTTTGTTGAGGCATTTATAGAGGAAGAACTATACTTGGCTCATCTGGGGTCTCTCCGAAGGAGACTGGTCTATGCATATACAAGCTGCACATTCCACATGATCGATCTGGTCTGAATCATGGGCATCTCCACGAGTTGGATCAACAAGCTCCTTGATGTTGTTTTTCATTAGCAAAGGCTTGGCCTGACAACAACATTGCTCCAAACTGCATAATTTCTTGCTAGAAATACAATACAACGGACTTGAAAGAATTCGACCACTCAGAAAGAAGCTTACGTGCCCACATTACAAGACTTTGCTGTGAACTATCTAAAGCTTGCCTTACAGTAAGGGGCTCTAACAACAGAACCCCATAAACATAAATATTTGTCTTCTCATCTACTATGCCATGCATCAAGAATTCAGGAGGAAGTTAACTGTTAAGATAGAAAATGAGATCATATTACAAGGCAAGATATCTTGAAGATTTAGAGATCATGCCAAGTTTTGGATTACAAACCCAAATGTGCCTTCAATTTTTGATACTGTGTGACGAGACCACTCCTCTGGTAACCATTTTGCAAGCTCTTTTAAAGATTTTGACCGGTGATGTTCTAATCATTATTTATTGGAAGCTAAACATATTGATATAATATTTAACGTAATTTGGTAAATCGTCTATATTTATAGAAAAAGTCAATATTATTAGAGATAAATAAAAAAAATGATTACAACACACATGGATGAGGGAGATCACTTCACTCAACTTTACTCTCATTGCTCTCACACACTATTGCACATTTCAGTAGGGCTGCTGTATTTGGTAACCACTCCACTTTCTCTCCTCTTTTCTCTTGTTCTTCTACTTTCTTTCTTGTTTTTGCTCTCAAATAATGCCTCTATTTATAGGCAACAATAGCAGACAATGAACCATAAATCATGGCATCATATTTATAGGCAACAATAGCAGACAATGAATCATAAATCATGGCATGATGGACAAAAGCCATGAGACATGACACAAATGGTGGCACTAATCGTGGCATAAATTAAGCTTCCACTAAGTGGAAGTGGGGTTTTGCCACAAAATGACAATTTCCTAATAATCGCTTCCTTTGTTATTTGTGTGGGCAATTGTCGTCTAACTTCTTCAACACAAGATTGCATTCTGCAACTCTTCTAAGCTTACCATTTTGAGAGTGTCTTCAACACAACATTCCATTCCGAGCATATCAATCATGCTCAATCTAGAATGATTTATCAAGCCTTACGCCAAGGCTTACATCACCTCCTCAAACGAAAATTTATATTCCCAAGTGTGATAATTATTATATGAGTATCTCAATATGATCACAAACTCACCACTCTTCCAAGAGTCTACTCATCTAGGAGTTGCTTCTGCCCTCTGTTCCACCTTAGGAATTACGCTTTACTTCTCCATGAGTCTCTCACTCTTAGTCTCAAGAGTCCAGGTAGCTCTCCACCTTTAACTATGAGAATAGTCCATTAAAGATTGATCCATATCCATCATCATATTCTGAGTATTACAATATCATTATTGAACTCACCACCTTGACAATAGTCAACTTGTTCCCAAAACTTGCGCATGCACTCTACTCCTACATAGCAGATGCATCTTAATGCTCCACAAGTCATCCATTTATTGTTCAAGGCAAATGTCTTCTAACTCTTTATTATTTAATATGGAGGTAATATCCATGAAAGTCAATCCTGTATTTTCTCTATACTCATCATAGCCACTTTATTGGCTATCCATCTATCCACTCATATCAAGCCATCACATCGACTCTGGGGCGTTTTGAACTTGGGCTCCTATCATGGCCCTCACACATTCTATAAAGTGTCTTCGCCAGTTGTCATGTAGTGGTCTGAACCTAGACTCATATTACGGCCCACACACCTTCTGTTAGAGGTGTCTTCGTTTGTCATCATGAGATGATCTAATCTTGGACTCATATTATAGTCATCACACCTTCTGTCTGAGGTGTCTCTGTCTGTCGTCATTAGACGATCTATACTTAGGTTCATATTATGGCCCACACACCTTCCTCTAAGGTGTTCCCACTCGTCATCATGCGACGGTTTATACGTAGGCTCATATGGTGGCCCTCACACCTTCTTGTCTGAGATGTCTCCGCCTTTTGTGGAGTGGTCTCATCCTCTTTCATCTGGGATGACTCCAGTGGCTCTAAGATTCTCTACTACTATGTGAACTTGGGAGAGATCATTGTCATTGATCACATAGAAAAAGAGAGTTGTGGTACTCTCATTGCAATCTTTCATCTTATTTCCTATGTTTAGAGCTTTTATACCTTTTATTATCGCATTTAACAACTTCACCTACACCAAATCTCTTTGGTGCCTTTGCCTTTCATCATAGGCGGTTGCACCCCCTCAATTAAATGCTTCTGCAACAGTTTATCTTTCCATCATTACATGCATTTAAAAGGCCCTTGTCTATTGTCTTTATCAAGAGCACAAGAGACTTCCTGTTGTACAACTTTCACAAGTCTCTACTCTAGGCTTCATCTGGGAACTCTTCTTTTCCTTGCACTTATTGTCTCATTACAGTATCTCATTAGATTTTTCGGGTACTCCCGTATAATCTCCATATGCCCTCGTGTAATATCTATTCTTTAGATTTCTTCATATTCTTTGCTTTTATGGTTGACAGCAGCTCATCCTATTACAACAATTATCAAAGTCAAAATAGGGTGTCAATGTTTAACCTCTTGCTGTATTTCTCTTCCATTATTAGGGTCTTCATCAATTCTCCCCTTAAGAAATTACAGTCACCAAATCTAACTTCTTTTGAGAAATCACCACTCCATCAAATCCTTAAACATACGAAACTCAATTGTTCCTTTGTGCCATCATCCTGCTAGTTTTCAATATTGTTCCTTTGTGCCATCATCCTGCTAGTAACAGTTTCATTGCAAACTGTTATATATATGAAAATAATATCATATGGATAATCTTTCAACTAAGCAAGTTCCTAGTAAAGATTTGAGGGGTCACACCGGTCCCGCTTAAAACTCATCCTTATAGATAAAACTTCTTAGGCCATATCTATCTATTGTACTATCTTTCCGTATATACAACCATTTGCTAGTTTTGTTGCGGCTTTTCTTTACAAGTGATCTGGAGTATCCTGGTTTTATACATGATTTCTCAACATCTGGCGAGACTACTAGTGCTTAGATTCGTTAAGATTGGCTTTCATCAATTTTCACTCTCCACCTCAAATCATCCACATGATCGGATGTTTAGAGTATCCCAATTTTACCTTCCCTCAAGGTAACTAAAAAATCTCCCTACTTAGCAATTTAGCACATGTAATTGGGCAAACATGTATGATTTATTTCATTTTCATAAACCACCATGATGACCTTTAGATGCCTCCTCATCAGACGATCTCTTTTAATAATTCACCACCACTATTTTTTATTCAAATCTCATCTATCGAACTGTATCATTGCATTTTAAATGATCAAATTAGCTGGAAACAAGTCTAAAATCATCCAAATCGCATTTCAGAAGGATATAATTTGATCAAAATAATTCTAGCCTGATAAATAGCTCAGATTCAATCTCATATCCAATTGTGTGTAGGATTAGCTACACGAGATCCTAACCCTTGGCTCCAAATCGACTCGGCTTAACTCAGCTCATTGGTGATGACGTGGTAGGTGGGTCCCACTTTGTTGACGTGTCAGCTGTGCATGTTGATGTCATACTCCATCTAGGTTAGTCACGTGGTTCAGGTCTTTTGGTATTCAGGTCAAGTCAGCCTATTTAGGCAAAAAAGACCATTGGCGTCACATAGGGCGTGTCGGCACGCATGAGCAATCTCCTTATCGGTGCATGTAGCCATATCTGACATTCAATTTTTGTGGTTTGGATGATTTAAATTAATTGGGAATTGACCTTCAGTTTTTTTTTCCCCATTAAATTTAGTCCATCTTTTTTTAATTGTGGTTTTTAAGTTTGAAAAAAATTATTCTCTCAAATTTGGTTGTCATTTTTTTATTGCTATTTTTATTTTATTTTAGATGATTTATAAAGTTGATTTTTTTTGCAATTTCATCCTCCATTTTTTTCCTATATCAAATTTGATTCTTATTCTTTGAATTGCTAATTTTATGTTCTGGTAAGTGTTTTAGATTGAATTTTTTAAAAAATTTTATTATTCAACATTAAATTGATAAGGGATTGACCTTCTTAATTAAGCGGGAGATTTTATTGGTTGTGATATTTTTTTTATATATAATTTTATTTTTCAACATTAAATTAATTGGGAATTGACCTCCTTGATTAAGCCCGACCTTGTTGATTAAGCCCAAGTATGAGATTTCACAGGTTGTAATTTTTCAATATTAACTTAAATTTAAGAGATTTACCTGAGTTTTATTTGTTTTTCATGTTGTTAAATTATGACTGTTTTTTTTATACTATTAAATTAATTGAACTTATCTTTTGCTTCTTTCATATTATTTTGAAATATTATCCTTGCTTTGCCTTAACATTTTTCTTCTTGCATCCAGAAAAATTCACCCCAGCTTGCGCCTTTGTGCCGGCCATTACATAGGTTAACTAGAGTTATTTTTTTATATTTTTTTAAATAAATTTATTTTTTGTACCTTTAATATTTGGTTCATTATAATTAAACTTACTAATTTTTTTTACCTTTAATATTTGGTTCTAATTTTTTTTTCTGTACAAGCTTTATGGTTTTGTCACTATCTCTTGTCCCATTTCATGACTTTCACATATTAATTATGCTTGATCAAATTAATTTAATATATTGATGTTTTAATATTATTTTTTAAAAAATATTTTATTTAATGTGTCACCAATTAAATATTTTTAAAGCTGGCATATATTGAATTTTCACTCCCTAATATTTTTATAATTTTTTTAATGTAAAAAAAAAAAAGGGCCGTTGAATAGTGCAGGTAAAAAAAAATAGTTGTTATTAAGCTATGAAAGGGACTCTGGATACGTGGTTTTTTCACCTAACTATCACCTAACTACCTAGGAAGCAACCTAAGCATGCCTTCGCAGGTTATGAGTAATCTTTGTCTCTGGTTACTAGAAGCCCAAGTTCAGGCTCCAAAATAAGTCTAGAGGTAGAATTTTCACATGCCCGTTCAAAGATTGCCGTCCATATTTTCCAAGGGACCAGAATTAATCAGATAATTGTGTCGATTTTTCTCGGAAATTGACTACTTAACTAATCAAGACTCTTTCTTTCTAGACCAAGAACCGATTGTGACTATTGATTTCAATGAAATGATCCATCATCTTTGCCCTCTAGCAGCTGGAATTGTTGGTGCCATAAAATAATGGATTAAACTATACGTTACATGCTACCATGACACACAAAAGGTCTCATATAGGAGTTGTATCTTGGAACCGAAGATTTGAGTTTAATTATAAAATTATGATAGGTGAGTTTAGAAGTTGTAATTTAATATTTGATTAATTATGTATATTATCTTTAACGCATCTTATTATTCAAGATAGATTTTTTTTTATAAGAAAGAATTTATCTATCATATTAAATCCTAATAATTCTAAGGTTTTAATTTTAACATCATATTTAT